AGATAAGCCAATTGTGAAAATTAAAATATACGAAAATTTTGAGGGTCAGCTTATCTGCAGGTGGCGCATTTTTCATGATATTTTGGTTAAAAATTCAAGGGTTGGCTTATCCATGGATGGGCTTATACATGAGTATATACAATACCTTCTTTGGAAAGGGATTCCCAGTTTACTTATCTTAGGTTGAAGGTTCTTGACCTACAAAAGATAAAAACTGGAGACCTGGAAATGGTGTTTTTCTAGGATGGTCCCCGTTTGATAGAGTAGCCTGCTTCCAAGTTCAGACTGGCAAAAACTTTGGCAGTTTTTCAAAAGGCTTCCAAGAGGGAACTGTTCTGTGGGGTTTTTGAGAATTGAAATTGCCCAGTCCAGATTGGTGCTCTGATATTTCTACTATTGTCTATTTTAATGTTTATGTTGAATTTGTACTCTGTTTTTTAATTCAGTTGCGTTATTTTTATGATTGTAAACCACCGGCAATTATATGATGTTGGCAGTATAGAAATGAAATAAACAATAAAATAAGGAAGTTGTCACAAGAGAGGCAAATGTTTGGCCCCAACCGTAATTTGAAGCTTTTCTTTTCAATAATTGATTTATACTGATGATCACTTTTTCTTATTTCTAGGGAGGATTTAGGTTTTAGGTTTATTTCTGAGCAGGTCAGTCACCATCCACCTATCAGTGCATTTTATTCTGAAGGCTTAAACCAGGACTTCATTTTTCATGGGTCAATTTATCCTAAATTGAAGTTCTGGGGGAAGAGTATAGAAGCAGAACCCCGGGGAACAATAACATTGGAACTGTTAAAGTAAGTATAACTCTTCCTTGTTTGTGGGATCTCCTTTTAATAACTATCTCTACCAAGGATTTTTTTAATTTATTGATTTTTTTCTGGATTGTGTTTGCATATGAGGTCTTAAGTTTCTATAACTCAGTTTTTTTTTTTGGCATGGATGATATGGTATTAAGCACACTTACACAAATTATAGTGCAAAGTTGTTGAAGAATTTTGAATGAATGCTTGAAAGTATTTAAAGTAGTTCCAAAAGAATTTACTGCTAATTTAACGTGAACTTTATTTACAGTTTAAGACTAGTTAACAGTGTAAGACTTGGCACCAAGGAGAAGAAAAAATCAAAAGTAAAATAAGATAAAACAATATAT